GGCTGCTGGGATTAGAACCGGCGCCCATATGGGATCCCGGGCGTGCAAGGCGAGGACCTTTAACCACTTGCACTACCGCGCTGGGCCCAATGCACAATAACTTAATAAGGATAGAAAACAGACATGAGGTTGCCTGGGGATGGGAGGCAGGTTTTGAAAGTAACAGGAGGAAGGGAGAAGGCAAGAAGACTCTGAGAGGTTGGGGGAGGTGACACACTGGAGAGCAGAATGATTTCATGAGTGTATGCTTATGTCAAAACGCATCAGGCTGTGCAATTTAAATGCATGCAGACTTTTGTCCATCAACTAGACCTTAACAAAAGTGCACCAACATAACAAAGGTACCACTTAAAACTCATTCTCTGTTCTAGGGGAAAACTGGACATCAATGATTACAGATCTTCATTCAAGGTAAGCGTTATTCGGCCTAGTGAACACATGACGAATCTGGGTCAGAAAGCCTAGGTCATCCAGCAAAACCCACAGGCTGACTTCAAAGAGAGGACTCTCTGAGTTGTGATGCTTCCACCAACTGCAAATACTCAGCACAAAGGTGGGGGTGGCCGGGGGGTGCGGGGAAGAATGGTTCCAAGATCTCTATAAAAAGGATCTGTAAGAAGGAGGTTGGGGCCCGGCATGGTGGCCTAATTGCTAAAGCCCTCGCCTTGCACGCACTAGGATCCCATCCATATGAGCACCAGTTCTAATCCAGGGAGTACTGCTTCCCATCCAGCTCTGCTGTGGCCTGGAAAAGCAGTGGAGGATGGTCCAAAGCCTTGGGACCCTGTACCCGTGTAGGAGACCCAGAAGAAACTCCTGGTTCCTGGCTTTGGATCAGCTCAGATCTGGCCATTGTGGCCACCTGGGGAGTGAATCATTGTACAGAAGACCTTCCTCTCTGTCTCTCCTTCTCTCTGTATATCTAACTTTCCAATAAAATACATAAATCTTTAAAGGGGGAGGGGGTGTTTGAGGGACAGCATGGGAAAGGGTTTCTGACTCAATGAGAAAGCCCCCACTGCTTTCAGTTCACCAGTTCTCCTCCAGCCAAGCCAGCTGTGCCTGCTTCAAGAACAACCATCCCTCTACAGCCTGGGCCAGTCTCAGGAAAAAAAAATCCTCAAGTTCCATGGGTGCCTAAACCATGCTATTCCCCTTTCTGGGCCTCCACTTCCTCTGAAGAAGACCATAAAAGTTAACCCACAACCTTCCCAGGAACCTTTCCGGCCCACACGCGTAGCTCCAAGTGCCCTGCTGAACCACACATTTCCTCCTCCTAAACTTGGGCAGGTGCCACACATGAAAAAAAGTTCTCCATCATCTATGAAACCACACCAGGCCCCCATCAATCCCAGTTGCAGAGGCAGAGCATGCACCCCCACTTACATGCAGCAATGGCTCAACTTACCCCTCCTAACCCCTGGGGAAGTCTTTCACAGACTGTGACCTGACCCCACTGCCAGCCCCATTTGTTGCTCTTTTCCCCACCTGGCAGATTGAGGGCCTGAATCTCTGCACGTTACGCGCCTGGGAATTCAGCAAGAGTCAACAACTTGAGCCATAATACTGTCTTCTGTATTCCAGAAGGAAAAGCTGGAGATGAAGGGGTCCCAGGATAAGTAGGACAAAGAGAACATTCTGCAATCTTTATGTAGGAAAACCCCTCCTCCTGCTGCTGCTGCCAGAAGACAGAGCTGGGCCAAGGTTTCTTGCCCCAACAACCTGAGCTGCTTAGCTGAGCAAAGAGTAGGCTTTCAGTAAATATCTGAAACTAAATTACACCTCTCTTGTCAGAGGAGTAATCTCTTTCCTAGCCACATAGGAAATCCAAGGCTATCCTTTCCAATGTGGTCCCAGCAAGGGCCCCTGAGGCTGAAAGACCACCTGCTTTTACCTGAAGCCCTGGGGGTCCAGGGACCTTGCACCTTACCCCCAGGGGCACTGGAGTACAGGAAGACTGTGTGTGGGACTCTACAGGTGCGCCTTGGCTCAAAGCTGTCTTCCACTATAAGGAGGAGCCCTTGGGATCTGGGAGGAACAGTGGAGCATTTTGCACAGCTCCAGGCATGAGGTTTGCAGCTGTTGAAATGGCTGCAGAGTTGGGAGCATGTCCCTAAGGAGAGACTCTGCTCATGCACACTGTTTTTGGGGAGATCCCAGGTGAGTACTTGCTGCAAGAAGCACTCATGGGCTTTGAGAAGCCTTGGCGGTCACAGGCAGGCTTAGCTTCAAGCTCTGTTCTTTAGGAGCTGTGCAATGTTAGGGAAGTCTCTTGATCCCTCTGGGGCTCAATTTCCCTATCTGAGTCAAGGGTGTAGACTCCTTGGTAGATAGCCTCAAATGAAATGAAATCGTGAGGCAGCACAGAAAACAGAGCCTGCAACCTTCAACTGACCTGCAACTGACACCCTTCTGTGTAAATACAAGGGCATCTCGAACCGTTTGTGAGAAAACACAGTGCAAAATATTATTTTGGTGCAAAAAGAAATTGAAATTTTACAATACACAATCATCCATGAACTTTGGACACACTTGACTCAGTGATATGATCTTAGCTGGTTTTGTGAGTCAGACAGACTAATCAATAGTTAGGGTCTCAGTCCCTTGGTGAAAATATAGTATCTTGCTCTGCCAAATGTTTACCAAGGCCATATTCTAAGTCAGTCCTCTTGAGGGAAATCAACGGACAAAATCAAAATATCAATCCCCATCTCTGAGTTATTGTCACAGCAAAAGCAAAGAGATGGCCAGTCACACCTTTTGGATAGCCTTTTTGTTTTGAGCAATGAACTAGATAGGATCACTGCCCATTGTGAATGAGTTTTCACTCCACCCTCTGATTTATTTGTCCCCCTCAGTGGGATGGTGCATAAAAGACAACACTTGCATCATTTTCTCAGGTCTTTCCTCCTTTGGAACGCCCTCCCCAACCCCTTTTCCTAAAGCAGGAAACCTCTTTCCTAAATAAATCTTGCTTTTCACACTGAAATTGTCCGCGCGAAAATTCTTCTTTCCTGTGAGAGAAGAGTTTACTGTTATCTTTCACATCAAATTCCTCGCCACAGTTTGACTGAAACAGAACACCAATGTGGCCCTGATGGAGAAGGGGTCTTCCTTCCCAGCTGGAGGAGCATCTTACAAAGTGCCCTGGGGCCAGAACAGCAGAGGACTTGAACCTCACTGTGACCATGGCAGCAGGTACAGAAAGCAATCTAAGAAAAATGGGGGTGGGTTTGGGAGCCAGAGCAGGCAGCTGAAGTCCCCAAGCGGCCTTGGGGATGAGAATGCCAAGAGTTTAATGATCTGGTAGCCCGAATGAAGCATCACCTCCCCCACCACCACCCTGGGCTCCAATCTCCCCAGGAGTACATACTTTCACCGGTGGCATTGACAATTATCAGCTCAAGAAGAGGGCAGGGGACCATATAGCCTCTGAATGCCTTTCCACTTCTCTAACTTGTCAAGCTGACAAAGATATACCGGCACTCCTCCCCACTCCTCTAGGACATAACATAGGGAAGGCTGCAAGTGGTTAGGGAACCAGGAAATCTGAAAGTGGAGGAAGGAGGCCAGAGGCTGGGGCTGCATTATGCTAATTTAATTAGCTCTAATCTGCAGCAACAGCAGGGACTAGAAGAAAGAGGCTTTTGTTGAAATTTCACATTTGGCAGGAAGTTCATCCCCCCTCCACCACCACTTTTCCCTCACCCCTACTGGAGATTATGAGTCAAAAGCTCTGATTTCAGTCCTGGCTCTCACATCCAGCGTGGCTGAGGCTTCCCTTTTACACTTCTCTGACCTACTCCTTGACTTTTCCAGGAAGGAAATACACCCCAGATGTTGCTCAGTAAATGGAGGGTTTTCATCTGTCTTTATGAAAGCATGTCAGTCACCCACAGACTGCCGCGGGAGAACCCCTGTCAGCTTCTCTCCATCAATTAGCCCCCTCCCTACATGGGCAGAAAGTTGGCCAGGGTGCAAAGCATGCTCGCTGGCGTTAGCTTAGGGGACCCTCAAAACATCTTCATGAGCTCAAAAAGACAGAAATCTCATTCTGGGCTATCCGTGTAGCTCCCACTGAGCACTCCTTGTTTGTACAAGAGGAATGAAGAAGCGCACAGGTGAAGTGACTTGCCCAAGGCCTCACACCTGGTGTGACAATGTGGCCATTGTAACCAGAGATGTACTAGTGTCATCTGAATTTTCATCACCCAGAAGCCCAACTCCCAGCATTTGCCCACTTTTGTGACATAATTCCAACACCACCACCCCATGCTCAATTGAAAGCCATCACCAGTTTTTAAACAATGTTTTTAAACAGCTAATTTGCAACATCTCCAAATATTTCAAATCCAGCTCTAGAGTTTCCACACTGGAGACTTCTTATGACTCCTAGCTGAGTATACTTTCTGCCACACCTCCATACGCCAGGCAGGAGGAATCCATCTGGTGCAGCAACTCAAAGAGTAGCCTGCACAGAGCAGGATCTGAAGGACTACCAGCAGGGGCAAGATTTCAAACATGTTGTCTTTGCTTCTACGTCAATAGTTTTCCAGAAATCCTGGGAGCACATTTTGCCCTTATACACAGAACATATCTAAGTAACAGAAATCATTTTTAATCGGCTTACTGGAGTGTTTTGCCTAATTTCTATCCTGCTTTCCTTGAGTTGTCGAACGTGTTTCCTAGGAGCTTAATTTCCCTTGCAGAGCACAGCAGGTGCACGAAGTTAAGCATTCACCTGAATCTGGTGCAGCTGGAGTTCAGATTTCACCGACGATGGAGAAAATATGAATCAGTATCAAGATTTCAAAAGACCTGCTCTGACAAATATTTGGCTACGGGAATGACCTTGCCTCCCAGTGGGCTTAGGCCAAAACAGGTGGCTTGACTATTTCAGAAACAACTGCTTCTTTCCTGAGCCCTAGAAGAGGAAAGAATGCCTGCTCCCACCCCCAATAGTCATTTCCCTGCCCAAGCTGGAGTCTAAGGGATCTTACCTCAGTGCTGGGCTGGAGATCTGGCACCAGGACTTGGGAGAGGCTCCCAAGGGCCGGTACATTTCAGCTGGGCTCAGTAACATCCACTATTTCCTTCCAGGCTCCTTGCAGCCAAACTGTGCTCAACTGGCTCTAGCGCTGCCTGCAGGGGGACAAGCAAAGCAAAAAGTTGCAGGCTGATTACCAGAAGCACCGAGAGTACCCTTCCTCTTCCTCCTCCAGCACAGGCCTGCTGACTCCTGCCACTTCCAAGCCCCTTTCCCAACCACTGCCCACTCCTCCTTGCCAAGAACCAACCTCCTTTACAGGGCCCCAGTGGGTCATCCATTCACTCAGACCCACCCTTTCTGGGGCTGCCCAGTTTCAAAATGAGTTGCAGATGAAACAAACAAGCTGTTGCATCAGCCATGGAATCCTGGTGCTACTTGCTACTGGTGGTAAGAAATAAGGGGAAGAAGAGCCAGCCCAAGTCTTGTGTTTGTATAAGGTGTGAGCCTCCACGAGTCCATCAGACCTGCTCACTGCCTTCCCTTGACCTACAATACATCATTCCTTCTCTTGCAGGTGTGAATGTAATGTCTAAATCCTTCCAGACACCAGCATTTGCAACCCATGTACTATCAAAGCCATCTGAGTGAAAAGCATTCAGTTTTAAGGTAACTGTTTTGCTTGGACCAAAGAAATTTAGGTTCATTCAATACAAATTAGCATCAAATTAAGTAAATAGAAGGAACACATTATCCAGTTGTTCTCCACCCAATAGAACTACAAATTGAGCAGGTTTTTTCCCTTTGTTCCATATTGTTATTATATGGATTTTTTTTTTTAATGCAGAGATGAGCATGGCCTGGTGCTCGATATGGCCTAGTGGTGTGTCATGAAACTCTCTTCTACAATGCCACTCTAATGGCTTCCTCAGTTGTGGATCTCCTGCATGGCACACAGCCATACCAACTATGGCACCCAACTCCCAAAAGCTGGACACTTGCGACTTGTCAATTTTTGTTTGGGAGAGCTTTGGGGGTTTGGTTTGGTTTTTGGGGGGAGAGTGTTGCTTGTTTTTTTGTTTTGCAATAACAAGCAGTGTTTGAACTTAATCTTTAGACAAGTTTATAACTACTTTTGCCACAATTTTAGAGTAGCCCTAAATGTTGCATGAACTATTAAGCTGGTTCTCAGTGTGTCTATGCTGAGATGGTATGGTGGGTCCTGTGGAAGAGGACTAAGTTTCTTTGTTTTGTTTTTGTTTTGTTTTGTTTTGTTTTGTCTTGTTTTTTGTTTTTAGAAGAAAAGCATCAAATATCCAGGAAAGTTCATTTTTAAATGATAAATCAAATAGATACAGCTTTCATTTACCCACACATGCATAATCCAACCTAAATATAAAATGTACTCAACTAGCAAATCATACAGGAAGTACAAAGGGAATGCAATTTTACATGTGCAATGATTGTTGGCTACTACAACTTGACAGATTAATGGAAACATACATTAAAAAAATCTTGGGCCCAGCATGATAGTGTATAGTGGTTAAAGTCCTTGCCTTAGACAGGCTGGGATCCCACATGGTCGCTGGTTCTAATCCGGCAGCCCTGCTTCCCATCCAGCTCCCTGCTTGCAGCCTGGGAGGGCAGTCAAGGATGGCCCAAAGCTTTGGGACCCTGTACTTGCGTGGGAGACCTGGAAGAAGCTCCTGGCTCCTGGCTTCGAATTAGCTCAGCTCTAGCCTTTTGCGGCCACTTGGGGAGTGAACCATTGGATGAAAGATCTTCCTCTCTGTCTCTCCTCCTCTCTGTATATCTGACTTTGCAATAAAAATAAACAAATCTTTTAAAAACATCTTAAAGCCAATGACCTATCATAAACCAAGGGAAAGGCTAATAGGGAATGAGTGATTTTGAAGTAACGATCAGGCACCTGCTATAAATTTCGAGAAGTAAATTTCATTTTCAAAGGTACAATAAAATACAATTAGTTAGCCATCACTTGTTTCCAAGAGGGAAACTGGTATAGAAACTGACATACTACGTGAGAAACACAGATAATATCTCAGTTAAAAGCCTGCTGGCCCAAGGTCACCTGATTCCTATGCCAGAGTGGGTACAGAGGACTAGGTCTTTGAGGGTTCTATGTTTGGAAGGGATTAATATGGTTTCTACTGGATGCTGGTCAGTTCTCATGAGAACAATTGGAAAAGGGCCACACCTCACTTCTGGATGGCTTTGGCTTCCTGCCTTATCAAGTAACTGCTCTTTCCCTCTCTCACATGCCCACACCATAATATCAGTGACCTTGTTGTTATACAACCAGAAAGTCCAAAGACCTTACCAGAGGCCAAACCAATAAGAATGCCCCAAAACTCTGAACTATAAAGCAGCGGGGTAGGGGGAGAGGGGGGACACGCTACAATAATTTATTTAAGACACCGGCTTGGAAATCAACTTGCTGGATCAGGTTTCCAAATTCCTCAGATTTGGAACAATCTCGGCATGCTACCTCTAGGACTACTTTGTCCTAGAAACTCCTCCCCAGAAGAAATGCGCCAATTCCTCTGGCATTCCTCTCTCCCTGGCCCCTCCTCCATCCTTATCCTCACTCACCATGTCTAGTGGACATGAATGTGAAGTTCCAGGAGTCTGCCTTCACTGCTCTCACTCACATGCAGCTCAGCAAAGTCTAAGGAAAGATCTGTGATGTTGCAATGAGCTCCCCTAGTAAAGACTAAAGGAAGGGGGTCCAAAAGGCAAGAACTGTTTCACAGGAGACAATTCAGAAACCCACTGAGGAACAGCAGGGAGAGAAACCTTAGTAGCAATGAGAGTCATGCCTGAGAGGGTGGATGCTAAGAGGAACTCACATCAGATAAAATTCAGCTGACATGAGCCATCAGAGGCGGTAGAAATGTCAAGGCCTCACAGAGGTTCGGGACATAGTATGGCAAACAACAAAGGTATCAGGTGAGACAGGAAAAATAAAAATGTCACTTCAAGGTCTTGTGCACTTTGCTGTTATCTATAATTAATGCCAACAAAACATTGGATGACAGCATCCCTATGGGCAAAGGAGGACAGACAGGCAGGTGATCTCCACATGCATACACAGGCAGAGCCAGCAGCCAGCCAGGGCTGCCAGCAGGGAGTGTCCGCTGGGGACAGCTGCACAGCACTTGCAGGGAAGGGACACCCTGGGCTGCTGGCTCAGCCCCTCCTTAACAGGAAGGGACACTCCCTATCTACCTCTCTCTAGGCAGCTTCCTGTCTCCTTGCTTTTACTCCAGGCCAGAGCTTCAGTAGGAGATGGACGACTCTTCAGATATTCTATCTACACACACTACTGGGTTTCTGCAGCCCTAAGGCTGTGGGAGGACCCAAGTTGCATGTCCTTCCCTCTCGGACCAGCCTCCTTGGCCTGCCACCCCAAACATCCTGCCCTCCAACCACGGCAATCGGCAGACCTGAGATGGAAAGTAAAGCTCCAGTTCTGCTGTTTAACTCCCTTGGGGGATGGCCGACAGCCCCACACAACTGAAATAGCCATGTTTTGCTACCTACCCACTCCACCCTGCCCCACCCGCCATAGAGCCTCCCTTGAAGGACAAGGGCGCGACTTGGACTTGAGGATCATTCATCCAGAAACCAGGTGCTGGATGATCGTGATCATAGTTCACAGCTGCAACTAGGGGAAAAGACTACAGTTACGGGAGTTACCGCAAAGGTGGCAGCAGCACTTGCACAGCAAACACCACCCACTGCACAAAGGATGGGGCTGCAGGGTTCCTGTGAGAGGTGAGAAACTGCCTACCAGGGAGTGGCAGACAGGAAGCTATGGTGCCTCATGAGGACAGATGCTTAGTAAGTGACGGGCAGCTGCAAGGCTCATCTGCACTGATTCCAGCCTGAATCCACTGAATCCTTTCAATAAAACCCCTGTAGGTGGAATTTAGGTCAATCTCCGTTTGCTGAAACCACATTGCCCCAACTAAATCAATCTCTTGCTGACCTATAGCTGCAGCAATCTGAGGTTAGGAAACTGGGGAGTAAGAGCAGGATTTCTCACCAGTTCTGTTCAACGTAGCAAATGTATGCAAACCCAAGAGTTTGGCACTGAGAACGGAAGCTGCCAATAGCCCAGCCTGAGAGCCCAAGTGAGCAAAGAATAGCACAGGCCTTGGTCTCTTAAAACAAACTGACTCTGGCTATAAAAAACTAAGGGAGTTGTAAGACATTGGGGCTTTCCTAATGCCAATTCATAACTCTAGGACAGGGCTTGGTTCTATCACTAGGGCTACTCAAAAACTTTCCAAAAAAACATTAAGAGGCAGGAGCTGATGCTGTGGCACAGTTTGTTGTTAAGCCACTGCCTGCAGCACCCACATTACATGTGGATGCCAGTTGCCCCACTTCCAATCCAGCCCCCTACTCATGTGCCTGAAAAAAACAGTAGAGAATGGCCCAAGCGGCTGGGCACTTGTGCCCATGTGGGAGACTCAGAAGAAGCTCCTGGCTCTTGACTTCAGCCTGGCCCAGCCCCAGCCCATATGGTCATTTGGGGAGTGAGCCAGCAAATGGAAGAACTCCCCCCCTCTCTCGGTAACTCTGCATTTCAAATAAGGAATTCTTTTAAAGGGGGAGTTGCTGGTGGATGGAGGAGGATATTTGGTGGTACGGCTGGGTGTACAGCTGCTTGAGACAGCAGCTTCCTACATCACAGTGCCACGGATCTGGTTCCAATTCAGTTTCCTGTGGATGTACACCCTGGCAGGCAGCAGACAACAGCTCAAGTACGTGGGTCCCTGCCAGTCACATAGGAAAACTGACTGGAGTTCTAGGATGTTGAACTCAGCCTAGACCAGTCCCAGAAGTTGTAGGCTTTTTGGAAATGAACCAGCAGATGGGAGAGCTTGTTCTCTCGTGCCCTCTCTCCGCTCCCCCCAGCTACACTGTCACTCTGCCTTCTAAATCAACATAAATAAACCTCTTTTTAAGAAAAATGTATACTTATTTATTTGGAAGGAAGAATGATATAGAGAAAAGGAGAGACTGTGTCATTGCCCATTCATTCCCCAAATGCCACAACAGCCAGAGCTGGGCCAAGCTGAAGTCTGAAGCCTAGAACTCTGTCAGTCTCACCCACATGGGTGTC